GATATATTTATATTTCTTTTAAATATCATTATACACACACACATTATGTAAAAACAAACTTATGTTAGATTAATCAAATTGACAGCACTAACATTAACATAAACTAGAAAAAAATACTAATGCAGTCCCATCAGACGTCTTATTAATATGCTGAACTCTATTCAAGATCTTTTTTATAACACAGCCCGGAAAGAATTTAATATTCAGAGTATTTGATTGCATTCAAATAATGTTCAGCCTTTTGAATACTAAACTTATTTGTAATTTCGAGTCCTTTATTGAAGATTTCCTGCACTATTAGTTGATTGAACCACTGGCACAACTTACCCCAAAGTAATTTACAACACAGATGCCGTTTTTTTTTGGAAAACGTTTCATTCATTAATTCAGTGGTAATTTTAAGCAATGCATATATTATGTTTTATAATACTCTAAAAATCGCTGGGTTGTTTTAACCCAACTTTGGGTCAAATATGGACAAACCCAGCCATTGGGTTCCATTTTTTTATTATATTTTTAACCCAATGTTTGGGTTTGTCCATATTTGACCCAAAGTTGGGTTAAAACAACCCATGATTTTTAGACTGTAATATCTAATTAGTTTGTATTGTTTTAAATATTTTTTTATTTGTTATATTATATAAAATACTGACTGATTTTTCAAATATTCCTCAATAATTCAACACGTCCCTTCACATTACACAGCTTACTTCTAACATGGGCTACTCAAAATTCCTTAAAAAAAATAAAAATCAGTAATTAGACATGGCGATGACTCATGTATGCTCCTAGCAGGGAGGTTTCTTTCACACACAGCTATTCTGCATTGCATTAACTGTAGTGCCCAGTTGCACAAAATACTTCGTGTCTCTTCACTGGCCTATGGAACATGGCACTTGTCCTCTTGTTGAAGGTGGGCAAAAGGCCCAACTCCTGAGATGGCCAAAGTCCACAGCTGTGCCTCATATTTTCCATCTTAAAGTACCTAACCTCACAATTACACCCATGGCCCCACAGCGAGCCCAGCTGACTGCACTGCCCGACTTACTGGAGGTCTAAAGGCTTCAGAAAAGATGACAGAAGGCTTTGAGAGTCCAACAGGGTTTGCGTCACAGAAAAGCGGCTGAAATGTCATCACACAGCCGCAACGGGAACGCAGTGTTTTCAGTGTCGTCTGGGAAAGAGCAGTGGTGTCTGTGTGGTCAGCTGGTGAGTGAAAACAAGCTTGCTTGATACTATTTAGAGAGTCAACAGTGACTCGTGTTGGTGCATGCTGAGATCCTTAAAACAGTGCTTGAAAATAAAAACTTGCAAGAAAAGAAAAGAAAAGATGTGTAGAGGTTAGGCATGCACCCATATTAAAATTCTGGCTGACATAACAGGCCAAAAATAATAATTTTCATTCCATGTTTTGGCGGAACTGTCAAAATTAAATTAATTATTAAAATGATTAAATATGAAAACAACCCAGAACATTAAAATCAATCATTTTAAATGCTAAAAGTGAATTTAGGCATCTTTGATGGAAAATGGATGTTCATTTTGCAATTGGATAAGGATTACATTTAACAGACTAAGAAGCAAAAATATTGATATATACTGTCAATGTAAAAATTCTTTAATTTCGTCTAAATAATTAAAAACAACAACCCAATTCCCCCAATTAAAACAACAACAACAACAACATTAAAATCTAAAATCAATCATTTTAAACGCTACAAGTGAATCACAACATTATAATGCAAAGGATGAAATATGGACATTCACTTAACAATTTGCTAAAGATTACATTTGAAAGTGTTTATATAACTTTTAAATAACTACAATAAAGATGAACTTCAAGTGAGCGTTAAAGGTGCAATATGCAGGATTTTTGCGGTAAAATATCAAAAAAAAAAACCACTAGGCCAATGTTATATATTTTGTTTAGTTGATTACTTACAATATCCCAAATGTTTCCAGCTATTTGTAAATCGTGAGAAAATTGCGATTTTTAACCAAGGAAACAGGGCGTATGAGCAGGGGTGAGGAGTCGCCAGTCAATGACGTCATATCCACGTTACCCCCGGTTTCCGCCAGGTTTGACCTCCTACTGCAATAATAACCATGGCGACAGATCGGTTATGCCCGTTATGCATGCTCAACAGCGTAAGCGTACCTAGCAGGGTTTTGTTCAAACATTATGGACCATGGCAAGCAGACTTTGAGACAAAAAGAGGACTAAAACGAAGATAAGCATCTTTCGAGATGCCGAGAGCTCCACGTCCACGACTAACTTTGACTTGACAGAGTGTTGCATGTTACTTTATTAGACGGGTGAGCAAATGTACATAAAACTAATCAAAGATATTTATTAAATAAGAATATGATCTGTATGTTATTCTCTAATGTTAATCTAGCTTAGTCTCATACAGCCAACAAACAACCCAACTAACATTCAACACACTCAAATGCCGTTTAGTAGGGGTGTAACGGTACATGTATTCGTATTGAACCGTTT